TATATAGTCACATTTACATTTTGTGTAACGTGACAATTACAATTTACTATTTTAATTATATCTCACCTTTTAATTTTTTCTTAAATCTTCATGTCCTTTTTATTATATAGCAATTTAAATTTAATTGGCTATTTACTTTTTCGGTTCTATACCAGTTTAATGAAAAGTTCTTATCACTTTTAATTCGCTCTTGTTTGCTCAGTTAGTGCAGTTGATTGATTAAGATACGAAATCAGATACAAAAACTTACTTTCTCTGAATAAACATACCTTTTTTCGCCGAATTCTGAATTTCTGACCCCAAAAATATAAGGGGTAGCCACAGTATGGAAAAAATGGTCCTAATAGTTTGATCAGGAGGGCGGCTACAAGTTTGGATCCCTTATTATTAATTTTATTTTGTGCGTATTACACCAAAAATCGAGAACTTGTATAAGAACTGCACAAATTTTGCACACAATTATAATATTCATTTATCGAAAGATAATTCCATACAAAAAACGTAGTCAATATTTATTATTTTTTATTAGTTAATTTAATAATAGTCGGAAATTTTTTAATTGCAAAGTATACAATTTTGACTCAATGTTAAAGAATATAATTTTGAATGACAAACTGCAAAATGTGAGTGAAATCGGTTGAATAGTTCCTGAAAAATCCACTTTCCAAGAAAAAAATTTTTAAAACTCTTATTTCTCTTAAACTATTCGACTGATTTCGCTCAAATTTTGTGGATCGCTCTTTAACGATAATTTATGATAACACATTCGTGTTATATATATAAAAAATAATACCAAGTTGCAAAACGGTTTCGAAATTTAGACACCGATTCAAATAAGTTTATTTTAAAATTTGGTGTAGTAAGGTAATATCATAGAATTATTTAATAATAAAGAAGCAACTCTTTTAATTGTTAACTTAAGTTCGAAAACAATCATAATCATGTACTTAATAATAGCATTTAAGGTATTTGCCAGTAATATTTATTCTTATTATTGTAAACAATACCTGGCAAATACCTTTAGTTTCGGTATTGAAAAATGGACTTCTAATAGCCAAAATAGCAATACCTTATTGGAGAACAATGCTTCTTTGCAATATATATATATATATGTATGTATAAAATAATACCAATTGCAAAAAGGTTTATAAATTTAGACACCGACTCAAAAAACTTTATTTTAAAATGTAGTGTAGTAAGGTAATATTTTAGAATTATTTAATAATAAAGAAGCAACTCTTTTAATTTTTAACTCTTAGTTCGAAAACAATCAAAATCATGTACTTAATAATAGCATTAAAGGTAATCAAAAATAACCTATGTATTAACTAAATAGGGGGCTTAGTATTTTGGTATTAAATCATGCTTTATATATTATGTATTATGCTTTAATCTTCGTTTAACAGTAATCTCTATTTTTGACTATACGACTATTAACGTTCAACTCCGTAGCTTTGTAATTTTAAACCCAATCCAGAAGACAAGGGAACTCTTTTATCAAGATTTGGGAAAAATTTGCCTTCTTGGAGAACTTTTTGATGAAACTAACTCACATTTGCGTTACATGGAAAGAAAGACCACGAGAACCTCCCACGGTTAGCCTGACGGCAAGGGGTCTCTAACCCATGATCCATCTACCACTGAGAACATTTCACAACTGCATTGTGGTCGGTGCAAGCCAGTTATCGCTGACATTCGAACCTCATTGGAAAGCGACCGCTTATCCTTTGAGCCATCAAGGCTCTATATCATATTTATGAAATCTCAGAAATCTTTATTCATTTTAATTTTAAAATATTTAGTTTAGTTACCATTTTTTTTCATTTACAGAAAATCAGCAAAAGCATAAAAAAATATTTTTGACTCACCTTTAGTTGCAACTTTCAATTTAGTAAGCACTTCCTTCGCCAAGCCAGCATTTGCTATTATCAACTGGGACCATTTGGATGACGATAATATTTTCATTGAATTTTTCAGGATGAAGTTCGCAACATAGGATTTCCACTCCTCTTGATTTTCTTTGTCAGCAATCAATAACAATTTACAAGCATTTTCCACAGACAAAACAAACTTTAGATATTTCAAGCATTTCTTTACCAATGGCTCAACCTGAAATTTTTTTGCAACAAATAACAAGCTTATGGCTTTTTCTTCGTCCATTTCACTGATTTTACCAGTATATATGTATTCTACTAAAGACTTCAAAGTTTTGGTTTCAACATCAGGAATGTCTACAATATCATCTGGTATGACAATAGTCTCGACTACTTTCTGAGCAGTGGACAATGGTCTATGACTGGACCCCTCTATGTAATATGGTCTGCCTTTCTCAAACACTTCCCTGAATACTGGTGATCTGATTGCCAGAATTGCTTTGTGGGCAGGTATTATTTCATTATTAACACGCAATTTAACGTCAGCAAAGGTTTTGTCCATCAACAAATTATAAAGGTCTCGGTGCAAATGTGAAATACAATCAGTAACGAAAACTACGTCTGAGTGTGCGTTTGGAATAAAATGAGGCTCGTTATCACAACTTTTCGATTCACTGTTCTTGGTCCAACATCCATTTTTATAATCAGGATTTTCATTATCAACTCCATCAGGGATCGATGGAGGATGATAGTCACTATGTTTTAATTCACTGCTCTTGGTCAAGTGTCCACTTTTATCCTCAACTACATTAGGGTTAGCATTCTGGAGCAATTGGAGAGGGTCGTCACCGCTTTTCAATTTCAAATTCTTGTTCTCTTCCAGATTTTTACAATAATTTAATTTATTAGATTGATTATGCTTAAAATGAAAATTTACTCTTATTTCTCCTCGTTCGAAGCATTCGGCTTTGTTAAGATGTCGTTTCGAAAAAAAAGGTGCTACAGGCAATGTTTCGGTGCATTTACTAATGGTATACCAACTGGTTTTTTCAAATACTTTCTTATTACTGGCATTAGTCAGGATTACAGTGCACCGGAATTTGTGTTCCCAGCTATCGTTAATATTGGATGAAAATTCAATTTGAATTCTGTCAGTAGTATACTTAAAACTTATTCTTAAATCTAACGGTATGGTTCCGACATTTATACGCTCCATTGCTGTCCAGTTTTTAAAGTCAGTAAACTGAAAATTCCAGTTAAATGACTCGCTATACCCAGTTATCCTTGTTTCAGCTTCACAATTTATGAACGCAAAATCGCTCGACAACAGTAAAAATCCAGCTTGTGCATATGCCAAGTGACATCGTAGAGTTAAATTTTTTTCAGTACATTTGGATTCTTCGTTTATTAGCTCTTTGATATCAATTAAATTATAATTCATTGTAGTTGTTGATTTTTCTAAATTAAGAGTAAAATCCTCTGATGATTTTAAAATTGTGCCCATGGAATTAATCAGTTCAAACCGATACTTCAAATCTGTATTCTTATTCATTGCTTCGTAGTCAAGCAGGGCAAGAAAACAGAAGATGTAATTTTTTTTCTCGTGAACATTTAATACCCACTCACTGTCTCCTAAACTTTCAGCTTTAAATGTGGGACACATATAGGAAAAGTCCTTCTCAAACTTACATCCTTTAATAGTCCAATTAATTAAAAAATATCCATTGTTTCGTGCTGCCATTTTCCACATTTAAGTAAATTTAAAGACTGATAATGAAAAGCGAGTTTCAAACAATGATTTATCACTAACACTCCATACACCAATTCTTCTGCTTTTCATTTGTTTGAAAGTCCATCACGTGGTTAACGTCTACGTCATTATCTTTTACTTTCTTGTTATCTTGTATGTAACGTCACATTATTTTGCTTCAGATGTTTTTTAGTAGTGGTTGAGACTTTTCAAAGCCGAAGATGCAAAACGATTTCCTTTTAATTACTCTCATTTATTTTTAAGAGTTGAGTATTATTTCTATTTCTATATTAATATTTTTGGGGTTAAGAAGATTTTTCTTGTAAATAAAACTCTGTGAGCTCATGAATTTCAGTATGTAAAAAATAATCATATCTTTGGGAAAATAATGGATACATAAAACCTTGCACATATTTTTGTTTAAATTATACCAGATACATTTTGCGTATACATGGAATAAGGAGTTAAATGGTAGAGAATCGATAAAAAAAGATATCGAAATTGATTTTGTGGAAGAAAAAAAAAGAATAATACGCTTGTAAAATTACACATTTAAAAAAAAAATAGAGACAAGTCACTAATATAGAATCAAAAACTATATCTATAACACAAATTGAAATATGTTCAACATGTTAATAATCAAAACATGTTAATAGATGAATAGATAGCATAATATTTTCAGATAAATCAAAATCTAAAAACATATTATTTTGAAGGTGTTAAATTTTCTAATGTCCCTCATAATGTATGTTAGCATGGATTAAGGTGTATAAGATCACCCTTAATATGTATTTCTAGCATCGTTATCAAAACTGAGAAGAAAAAGTGCACAAATTGGGGTAAAAATTAATATTTAACCATTGAATTAACAAAATCGCTATTAAAAATGACAAATTACAGGGGTACAGTAAGGGGTAAGTACAAATTACAGTAAGGGGTAGCCCAGGGCTCGAAAAACAGCCCGTCCGCCTGTCCTCGGCGGTCAAAAATTCCCCGAGGACAACGAATTTCTCGAATGCGACGTCCGAGAGGACGGCTATTTTTCTGTTAATTGACATTCCAGATAACTTGCCTTTGTCCTTTAAATTATTTCATAAAAGAAATAAATTATTTCATAAACGAAATACTAAGTTACTATTAGTAACCTAGTATTTCTTTTATTACTGTATAATGTAATTCTAGTATTTGTAATCCTAGTAACTACTAATTCATTGTGAAATTTATATAAATGCTTGTAATAAATAAGAGAAAATAATATTTTTATTTATTTAGAAACGAAGGGTTAGTTTCAAAGTAGGACGGGTACATTGTTGGACGAGCCGTCCTCGGAAACGGGTAAAATTTCTGAGTTTTTTCGAGCCCTGGGGTAGCCACAGTATGGAAAAGATGGTCCTAATAGTTTGATCAGGAGGGCGGCTACAAGTTTGGATCCCTTATAGTTAATTTTATTTTGTGCGTATTACACCAAAAATCCAGAACTTGTATAAGAGTAGACTGTAAAAATTTTGCACACAATTAAAATATTCATTTATCGAAAGATAATTCCATACAAAAAACGTAGTAAATATTTATTTATAATTATATATTAATTTTTTATTAGTTATTTTAATAATAGTTGGAAATTTTTGAATTGCAAAGTATACAATTTTGACTCAATTTTACTGAATATAATTTTGAATGACAAACTGCAAAATGTGAGTGAAATCGATTGAATAGTTCCTGAAAAATCCAATTTCCAAGAAAAAAAATTTTAAAACTCTATTTCTCTTAAACTATTCGACTGATTTCGCTCAAATTTTGTCGATCGCTCTTTAACGATAATTTATGATAACACATTCGTGTTATATATATATAAAAAATAATACCAAGTTGCAAAACGGTTTCGAAATTTAGACACCGATTCAAATAATTTTATTTTAAAATTTAGTGTAGTAGGGTAATATCATAGAATTATTTAATAATAAAGAAGCAACTCTTTTAAATTTTAACTCTTAGTTCGAAAACAATCATAATTATGTACTTATAATAGCATTTAAGGTATTTTCCAGTAAAATTTATTCTTATTATGGTATGAATAAATATTGCTGGCAAATATCTTTAGTTTCGGCATTGAAAAATGGACTTCTAATAGCCAAAATAACAAAACCTTATTGGAGAACAATGCTTCTTTGCAATAACTCATAAATATTTAATATAAAATATTTAAAACAATTATAATTTTTATTTTTCCATGTATAAAACATCCAGCTTTTTTCAATGTTTTCCATTGTAAAAACACAGTAAATTTATAATCTTCGGTTGCGAGAAATATAGACAAATCTGTCTAATCTATCGAAAAGTATTGCATTTTTCAAAGCAATGCACAGCAGTTGATGTCCAGCTAATAGAAAGAATCCGGTCCATAATCAATGCATCTGATTATGATTGTCATCCTAATATCAGCGATTTCCATCATTCTGTCCCACTTAAAATATCACAGATTCTGAATGTGAAAGTAAACACTAAATCGCCATATAATTCTGTTTCACTTTCACAACCCGTAACATAGTTAGAGTCCGGGTACATCTGCATTCACTTTCCAACCCGCAGTGCACAAAAAAAATATAAAAACCGCCCTGAATAACTTTTGATCTAATGATCGGAACTTCACGTTTCAAAACTTAATGCTAAAGGTTCGAAGGGGTAATTTCCAATATGCTAATTAATGTTTCAAAACGATATTTTAAGTTATGAAATCAGACATATAAACGTACTTTCTCTGCACACTTTTGTTTCGAAAGATTCAGATTTCTGCTCCCCTAAAATATAGAGGGTAGCCGCAATCTGGGAAATATGACCCAAATAGTTTGGTCAGGAGAGAGGTTCAAAGTTTGGACCCCCCTTAATACTGATTTCATTTTATGTGTATTTATTATATCTAGAGAACTTTTTAAACTAATTAAAAAAAATTGTGCTCACAATTATTAAATCCGATTATCGAAAGATAATTATAACTTTTAGTAAATATTTGTTATATTTTATTATTTCATTTAAAAGTCGAAAAACTTTTAAATTGCAAGGAATACAATTTTTTGGCAAAGTACAAAAATTTTATCGAAATCGGTTAAATAGTTCCTGAGAAATCAAATTTTTAAAAAATCATTTTTTTTCTGCTTATTCCGAGAAATTACGTTTTTGTGTCTGATTTCGTAGCTTAAAATATCTTCTTCACTAATTAATTAGCCAATCTGGGGTTACCCCTTTCAAACCTTTAAGATTTAATCCTAGAACGTAATGATCCGATCATTAGATCAAAAGCTATTCAATGTGGTCAGTTTTTTACTTTGCGAACACAGCACTGTTAATGTGTCATCCGCCTAGGTTGACACTTCCTGCAATAACTAGTTACTATTTAGTAACTTGTTACTATTAAATAATAAACTTTAGTCTCAATGCAGGTACTATAAATTAATTAATAAACCTGCATAGAGACGTAATCTGAATCTCAGACAAAGGTGTGTTTATTAAATGAAATTACGTTTGTTTGTCTGATTTCATAACTCAAAATATCGTCTGTACTAATCATTTAGCATACTTGAGATCGCCGTTTTGAATAATTAAGACTGAGTTCTAGAACATGAAGATCCGATCGTTAGATCAAAAGTAATTCACGGTAGTACGCTCTTTATTTTGCGCTCTGTACATGAGAATTTTTTCGTTTTGTATTCCGACACTTTCTGTTCCGGTCTATCAGTGTTGCGAAAAAGAATTTTTTCCCGCTCCCCCCTTTCTGCAACATGTTATCAAACATTAATTTATCGTTTAACTGGTGTATTGTCATTCAAAAAAATGAAACACTTTTTATCTAATTGTTTTCACAATGGTGGGACGGATAACAAATTAAACAAGTTCATATTAAGGGATATTTCTTATTCGTTCACCAGAACTTTCAAACATTCCGCTATCCTAACCCTGCTAAGCAATTACATCAACTATCAACAATACTTTTGCACACTTTTTTCAGTGACAGAATGGATTTTAAAAATATGGATAATTTATTCTCCTAAGAAGATAATTGATATTTGCCTGCACAGCCAACTGAACCAACTACGGGAATCGTGGTACTGAGCCGTTATCATTGGTTGACAGCCAAGATAAATCTTTGGGTCTAATACCAGTTTTAGTTCGATTAAGGTTAAAATCCGAGATCAAACCTAATTTTAAAATCACTTAAAATCAAATTCTCAGTTTTAAAATCCCATTAAGATTATTTTAAAGATTAGTCTATAGTTTTAATTACAGTCGTGACAGCTAATTAAATAAGAAAAACTATTTTTTTTTTTTGTAAAAAAACTTTCATAATTTTTTACTTATATATTAAGTATAGTAAATAGGCCTTAAAAACTTTTTTTCAGATTTAGTGGTCCACAAAAATAAAGAATAATGAATCGCTGACCTATTTTCTATAGAATGCAAGCGATTTTTGCCGCAATGGATTTTTTCTGCTAGAAACAACACATGTTAAATCTGAGAGAGTTCATTGTAAAATACGTTTAAAAATAATAAAAAGGTTTTTCTGAATATGTAGTGTATTACTATGAATGTGATTACAGTGATCCATGCGCTTTAATAGAAATATATAGTTTTCATTAGTCATATAAATCAATTATTCCTCGAAAAAACCACTCATAATAACCACTTTCATAATATGCGGAAACTGAAATGGAAAATTCTACAATGAGAAAACTTCATTAACTTCAAAAGTTAAGTTGGGAGCAGTCGACATGTTTCGAACATTCGAAAAAAACCCTCCAAAACGTGAATGATGAAGAAATAACAGAATTGAAGAAAGAAACGAAAGTTTAAATAAAATTCAAAAATGATTATATAATGGTAAAATTGCAAAACTAAATAAGAAAAAAATGCAGTAACCGTTCGGAGCGGTTGCGGCCAAAAGATTTTATTTTCAGGGACGATTTAAAAAAAATTATTGCAATTCTCTAAAAGACTCTATAATCATTGATAACTAAATTTTTGAACAGTTATAATTAGGATGGGATAACCTGGTTGGTAGGGCATTGGGCCCGTGTCCAAATGTTCGTGGGTTCGATCCCCGCCGATCGAAGATGCAATAAATGGTGACTGATAAACGTTAAATCTGCCGAGTCGCGAAGTCCTCCATGTTCCCATAAAAAGCAATACTACTGGGGTTTCTGATCCATGAGTTACCTTGTTTTCTGGATTGGTCCAAAATTTCAAGACTACGGAGTTAAACATTAGTAGTCATAAATCCGAAATTGGGTACGACGGCTAGAAAACCAAATATAAAACAGTTATAATTATGTATTCTGAGCTCATAAAATGTTAGTGAAAGAAATGGAGAAATCGGCTCGATAGAAGCCTTCAACGTAAAATGTACGGGAACAAATCGCTCTATCAACTGCACATTATTAACCAATAATTACTTGACTAACCAGAGGGCTCATTACTTAGATGTTTTTCCTCAATCTTAATAAAATGATGGCAATAAATTTTATCATGAAGATATTAAAATTCTCTTCTGAATTTACTAAAATAATGTCGTTTTTTTTCTTTTTGATTGATTCACACATATAGATAAACTGTTCGAAATTTTTCAGGGAAAATGGTTAAATAACAATCTATTTAAATGTTATTTCACCATATTTAAACAGGACAGTCAAACAACCATTAATAAGATGGTACTCAAACTATTTATAGTGAGAAAAAATTATTTATTAACTGCTTTCTCCTAATACAGTTTAACAACCGGAACTTTGTCGCAGCAGCCTAAAGCTCTAATGAAGACGCTGTTTCTTGTAACTGCATTATAGCCGAGAGGATTAATCTGTTAGTCTTATAACCTAACGAACTTGGGTTCGAATCTCAGCATTAACACCTCAATGTTTCCTTCATTCCCTTCAACGTATGAAGAGTTTCTACTGTCCTGCTTTCCCTAATTTTTGACCCTGGGCTGTTAGAATGCAATACTCTCATTTACGCAAAGATAGTAGCATCACAAAGCTGCCAAACTATCTGCAATATCCAGTTAATTTTTTTAACGATTTTGAAATAATGCTAGTTATAAAGGGTAAAAAAACCGTATAGTTATTTATTCATAGTTTTTTAATCATGCTTATTACCTTTACGGTTTCAAAACCATAAGGGTTCACTGTAAGCTGTACTGTTAATTGGATAGACAGAGAGCTGCCGGATATTTTAGCAATATTTTAAAACGAAAATTCTAACGGTTTGGATGTTTTTCGAGAGTTATCAACATGAAAGTGTTATTCCAAGTCTCAGAGAGTAGCTAGTTAGCCAGGAAAAAAGTCGCTTCAAATTTTACAATGCATTTAATAATCCGTACTTTAATTCTGCTATATTTTAACACGTCGTGCTCAAAAATTACAATAAAAGCGTGTAAAAGCGATTAATTTAAATAAAAACTAAACGCTTGATATACAACGATTTGAGTCTTCTGAATGAATCTTCACGTCCAAAATTCTTACTAATTTAGCAAGCTTTCTACAGTCATCTGAATATAATGCCTCTTTGGAAATCATAGGTCGCATAATGTAGGCTACTTTCCTTTATACTTTCCAACATAAATCTTTCACTTATACTGTCGTAGTGGTCCAGGGAAGCATTGGATTCTAAGCATATCATTGGAGCATTCGCCTCCCAATGAGATGCCCAAGTTCGAATCTCAGCGGTGGCTGGTTGATACGAACTCTTCTCCCGACTCGTACTGACCACAGTACTGACGTAAAATATCGTCAGTAGTAGACGGATCAAGTGTTAGAATTTCCTTGTCGTCAGGTTAACCGTAGGAGGTTTTCGTGGTTGCCCTCTCCATGCAATGCGGGTTAGATCCATCAAAAAGTCCTGCACCAAGTCACCTAGTTTGTTCCTTTTTTTGATTCAGAATTCACTTGACTTCTGGGTTGACTCAAAATTACAAGGATACGTAGTTGAACACTGATAGGCGTAAACTCAAAATTAGGTTGGCTGTTCAACGCAGGTTATGAAATAAAATACAAACGGGTGTAACCACATGTCAATTACTTCCAATGATTTTTTTCTTAAATTTTCATTTTCAGGTCCTCTTCAACATCTTCCAACCATCTTCTTCTCAGTTTTCCACTTGGCCTAATTTAACCAAATTTTTTATTAAACACCTTTTTTTCTTAGCTATATCAATTTTCCACTGAGTATGACCCAACGACCTACATCTCCTTCGTACAAGTCGTGTTTTTTTTAATACTTGAGGTTTAAAATATATAAATAACCATCCTACAGATATAAGGAAAAAATATAATAATTCAATTTATTACTTCTATTCACAGATATTAAAAAGAAATAATTTTTCAGACAACAGCACAATGAATTTATTAATTTCAACCAAATTTTATACCATAATTGCGTCGTAACTTAATCAAAATTTATTGGATACATAGTACAGTGTATACATGGGAAATTCCATCTGTTTTATAAAACAATTTCCATCTTACAAGGTAAATTCTCTTCAGTGTATTAAACCTAAAATATGAAATAAGACAGTTATAGCCCAGATAAATTACGGCAAATAAAAGTAATAAAAATTCTTGTTGTCGTTTTAATACGCGACAAAAGCATAAAAATAAACGAAATAAACCTGCGAATTCAGATAACTTTAGAAATGCTAATTTGATGACGTAACCCGCATCGATGATGGAGAATTGCGCTAATGGTTTTCTAAAACATGGTGGACTGCACTGCTAACATCTTAACCCCCTTGAGATGGGGTGGTGTACTGCACTCAGTGTAACTCTTATGACCATATTACTTCAATTATAACTCTTATTACTTCAATTATGCAGTGATACAATTTCTGATAGAAACATTGCCAATATTTTGTGCCAGAAGCTAGTGTGCTGTGGAGAGGGGGGATACGTCAATTAGTGTTCCTCCTTTTTTTGGTAATTTTCACTTAAAATTAGTTTTTTTTTAACATGTTGTAAGTTTTGATATTTCTGTAATTTTAAAATGCGAACTATATTTAAACTATGAAAAAAGAAAAACGATTTTTTGTACGTTTTAAGGTGACAAAGAGCGTTTAAAGTTCTGAAAATCGGTCTTAATTTTATTTAGACTGATGCAATTCTTTCAAGAATATTGGTTAAAAAGTTTTGCCAACTTATCATCCTAAATTAGTTAAAAAGTAAAAGTTCTGGATGCAGCAACAAATTTTAATTAAACTGTAAAATCATTACCTTAACACTTAAAACTTTGATTTTAATGAATTTTAAACCAGTCTATACTAGCCAAACTTCTACTGTATATTAGTTTTTTAAAAAATGATTTTCACGTAAAATGTTTTTTACCGTTAACACACTAAAAAGTTATTGATTACAACTCTGACCAGAAGCCCTGGTTAGAAAACATTATTTTACTCCAAAATCGTATATATTTGATTTAAATTGGATATTTTTCTTTAAATAAAATTTATCGGATTTTTAAAAATTTACCATTCAAAGCATCTGATAAAAAATTTTAGTAATACTATTGTTTAAAAGAAATGGAACTAGAATATTTAATGTTTCATTCTAAAATGGATAAAATTATTATATTATTACAAACTAATCACTGAGTTAAAAAAAAAAAAAATCATGATTATATTTTTCAGGCTCAACTTTGTAATGATTGTTAAAAGTCGGGAGGCAGTTTCTCAACTAGATACCTAATGAAAATTTATTAGTTTTGATAAGAAAACATAACTGATAAGATCGCCTTTCCAGTTTGAGGAGGTCTTGATACACTATAAATACTTATTCAATAAGATATAAAAGCACTGCATGTTAATTAGCAAAAAAGTATATAGGTGTAATTGAAATATGTTTTAAGCCAGAAAATTATTTTAATATATTGAATGAAAAACTACTTAAAAGCTTCATATCACACTTATTCACGTACAGTCAATTTTGAAACGTAATAATTTACCTGCACTTTCAATATTTCTTAGTAAAGAAATTCTCGTTATCAATAAAATCGGACTTAACCCCTTAACGATCAGTTAATTTTCACGAAATGGTCATAAAAGTGCCTAATTTGCCAAATACAAGTATTTGATTAGTCCTGACGTCTCATTAAAAACAAACTAACTATCTACAATTACCTTAAAAATAGCTTGGTACTACCATCTGGTGTGTAAAATGAGAAATAAAATGTTTTCCGGGCAAAAGAAATGAACTAGTTTTATTCTTATTGGTGCGTTACTACTGAACACTCCAGCTCGGAAATTTCAAGGGGGTGAGAAATAGAGGGCGAAACCTCACCCCGTCATTTTCTCTAGAGCGAGAAGGAAGGGATTAAAGAAATAGCTGTCAAAAGAATGTATTTATTTAATTGTATAGAAATAGTTTTTTCAATTAATATTTTTTCATCATTTTATTGAAATTATTGATTTATTTAAAAGAAAATCACTTTTGAATTGCATTTATGCATTTTTTACTGAAATATTGAAGGGGATAATATAGTAATTTCAATGCATATGCCTTTTATTATTTTGTAGTTAGAAAAATCACTTCTTTAATAAACATACATTATCAATTAAATTAGACTTTTAAAAATTCTTACCTTAAAGAATGTATTTATTAATTATACTGCATCAAAATATTTAAAATTTATATTAATATTTTTTTTCTAAATTAATTCATAATTAATGCTATAAAAACTATGTTCGTTTAAGTTAATGTTTTTTTAAAGGAAATTACATCTGATTTAAATTAGTGATTTAGTTAAAAAAAATTCAAATGATTTAAATTACGATTTTAATCATGACTAAAATCAAGTGATTTAAATTATGCCAACACTAACAGTAAGCGATCAGAAACTTAGTAATCCAGTAAACTTTTTCTATTTAATTTATGATGTTTTTAAAGAAAAACATTAAAATTGAATCACTTCGTCCATTTTTTTCATTTGAAATGATTTTTAACTAATTCTTTCTGTTTTGCTTTTTGTAACTTTGTAGTAAAAATTTTATTTTCAATATATTCTGAAAATTAATTTCAGGATGCTTAGAATCAAATATTTATTACAAAGTTACAATGAACAAAGAAGAAAGAATTAAAAAATTATTTCAAACGAGAAAAAAAGGAAAAATAAACAAAATAGTTCAACTTTATATTAATGTTTTCCTTAAAAGCTTCATAAATTAAATGTAAGATTTACATTTAAAATAAAAAAGCATACATATAAAAGAATATATTTTCTGAGGCATAGCTATACATCCATATACATACATATACAAAATTGTTAAAAAAAAATCTTTCTTAAGGCTGCTAAATCTAACTGACCGACTTCTATAAATTAGACAAAGATTTATACAAACAATCATATTTATATAAAAATATTTAAGCTAATGATTTTACTCTCATAAAATCTATGCATTTTGCCCTAAAATTATCATTAAATAAAAATGTTGAAAATGTTTTTAAAATGATAAGTAGTGAGTTACCGTATAAAAAACCCTCTTCTTATTAAAAAATAAAAAATTCAGAAGGAAAGTATCTATTAACTAATGGCATAACTAATGTCCTATGCTAAATTAGAAAAAAAATCGCGAAATAAAAATATCTATAAATAAGTGAGGGAAAAAATAATAAAAGAAAAAAAGCAAGTTCTTATGGCAGTTTTTAAACTGGCTGAGAATAGTTCGTTTAATGCTTAAATAAATCAATTTTAACTGTATTTTATTCTAATTGTAAATCTAATCCTGATTACAATACCTCAAATTTAATAACTTTAGCATAATATATTTTGATACATTTCTCGGTCAAGTAGAAATCGGTTGCCAAAATAGGGCTTGACTTTTATAAATTGCACCCCTTACATGTCAATGAGAAGAGAGACCTACATAGAGGCGTAACCAGCTGGAAGGGCAATCAGCATACTGTTAGGGGTGAAAGTTATAATTCAGGCAATTACTGAGCGCAATCCACCACTGTTGATCATGGATATTATTTGGCCAAGGTTGAACAAGATTGTTAACTTAGATGGTACTTTTCCAGCAGTCTCGTTCTACTCAAATGGACTATCGAAAAACCAAAGTGGCTCCGCATATATTGGTAACGCAATCTATAAAAATAATGGTTGAAGCTGTTTCACGCCACTAAGTGAATGCATCTGATTATGTCTGAACCAAGCCAGTTTATGAAATCAGATATTTGATTTGAAATATAAAGTATCATTTATCATGCTTGAAAATGATTGGTTTCTTTCAATTCAGATTTAAAAGTCAAAGAATTTAAAATGTTACCTATTAGCATTTTTTTAAATTTTTCAGATGCGATTAATAATGAGTATTTTCTTCTCGATTATCTATTTATATATTTCTCTTGTGTGAAACACTAAACTCCAGTGTTTCTCTATTTATTAGCAACACTGTAGTAATTATTCATTTCGTTTTATTTGTTAAAATATAAAGTATCATTTATCATGTATTAAAATGATTAGTTTCTTTCAATTTAACTTTAAAAGATTTCCCAGAAGAATTCAAAACTTTACCTATTACCATTTTCAAAACTTTTCATATGGCTTAATAATATATATTAACAATGCAATAATGTTTTCTAAGGTATCTTTACATCTCTATCTTTTATTTATATGGCATTATATCTCTTATGTGATCAGGTATTTCCCTACTTACTGAGAACACAATAGTAATTATTCATTTTGTTCTGCTGTCCTAAGTAATAATTTAAATAGTGTTGAAATATTAACAACATGTTAAGCATTTATTTAGAGTGATTTTGTTAGGTTGTCTTAAGTAATAGTTTAAATAGTGTTGACTAATTAGTTATACAGTATGTATTGATTCAAAAAAAATTCTATTTTTATAGAAATAAAATCTTAGTTACGAAGTAATTATCTAGATTTATTTCTTTATTTATTAATATGATCGAAATAATTTTGAGTTGCAAGGAATACAGTTATTAAAGGGAAAAAAAATTACATTAAATCTATCGAATGGTTATCGAGAAATCAATTTTGTTGTTGTTTAGACTAATTGGTCTAGTCAGCAGGCTAGACCAGATCCATGCGTCCACGGTCAGAAAATCCAAAACAGGAGGATGTCTTTGTCTCAAATCTTCTCTCTCAAGTCCCAGGCAAAAATTAATCTTTAAATATAGGACTCTTTTTTATTGAAAAAAGTATTTCTTCTCCACTTTTCTTTAAAAGATAAATGAAATGTCCTTGATTATCGTGATTTTACGATATTTATATTTTCTCATAAAAAATTTAAAAAATAAGTATACTTTTAATAATAAAGAAAAAAAGTGCCAGTCACTGATAGTTCACTATACTTTCTCTGAAGAAAAAAAATGAAAAAAAAATATAATTTTTCAATCTTTTATTATTTTTTAAGTTGTATTTTTTTTATTAGCCAACTTTTTGTATCTTAGGATTAAAAAAAAAGCTGGCATTTCAAAATTTACATTTTAATTTAAAATTAATTTTAGAATAAATGTTGCAAGCTGAATTATAAGCAGTATTACTAATGTGATAAAAGTTAATAAAACAACTATGTAACACAATCTGTAATACTTAATTTAATAAGTGGCTCTATGACAAACTTTTTCAAAAGTGTGATAAGGAATGATCGAATTTTTTCAAAAATGTGTTAAGGGTTGATCAAACTTTTTCAAAAGTGTGATGAATTTTTTTCAAAAGTGTGTGCATTACTTGTTTGATAATAAGGGCTAATAAAACAATTATACAACATAATCTGAAATACTTACATGTTTGGTTCTGTCGTCAAACTTCTTCGAAACTTTGATAAGGACGTCTGTTGCTAGAGTGTTATTTGTTTTTAATAACTGGAGCCACTCTGGTGAAGTTAAAATAGTTGTGGAGTTTTCAACTATGTAACCTATCGCTAATGGTTTCAAATAATCATTATTCATCATATCAGCTAACAACAGTACTTTACAGGCATTTGTAACAGACAGAACAGACTTCAAATAAGCAGAACATTTTTCTATCAGAGGAACTACTTGATACTTATCGGCAACAACCAGCAGATTCGTTGCGGTTTCTTCATCCATCGTATCTACTGTACTAGTATATATGTAATCAAGGAACGATTTTAAAGTTTTTGCATCCACATCGATTATATCCACGATACCTGATTTACCCTCTACCATGTCTTGATCAAACATGGCTGAGAACACGGGTGAACGGGCAGCCAGTATGTTTTTGTGGGCAGAAAAAAAATCATCATCAGCACGCAATTTGACGTCAGCAAATTTTTTATCCACCAGCAAACTGTGGAGGTCCTGTTGTAAATATGACAGACCATCAGCTTGTGGTGCGTCTTTGATACTGCAATCCTGATCAGAAGAAGAGCTTGTTAAAACAGCATTTGTTACCGTTTCGGTATCTTCGTATATATAACTTGCTGGACTGCAAAAGTAGACATCAGAAAATACAAAATTGAAAGTTAGCGGAAAGCTCCCTAGTTTTTGTAACTGCTCTACTGAGAATAAATGAGGAAATACTGCAAAACCTTCTTTTGTTGAGATAAATATCCTACTCTTCTTCGTATCTGCTACGTTTACTAATGTTGCGTGACATGTAAATCTCAATTCCCTATTTTCTTTATAATTTGAGAATTTAATTTGCAAATTATAGTCAACGGATTCGAATGTCACTTTTAATGGCTTGTCTGAAATGCAGATATCTCTACTTTCTGACCAGCCTAGAAAGTGAGGCATTTCAAAGGTCCATTCAAGTTCTGAATTTTTATGTAATTCAGTTTCAATTTCACAACCCGTGGCATAATCCACATCATCCAAACATCGAGGAAACAGATCAAGGTCCCATTCTATTAGGCACTGAAAAACTAGTGTATCTTCTGACCAATATGACATTTTCTGCAACAAGTCGCAAGATTTGATCATGATACAAGATTCCAGCAAATTGGATGTTAGAGTATCATTTAAAACTTTAGAGCTTCTAAAAATAATGTTATTATTAGGGTTCAGCAAAAAGAATTGGTAATTAAAAGGAACGTTTGACTTTTTTAAAGTGTGCTGTGGACGCAACTCGCACCTGACTCCACCGTCACCTAATTTGGGGTTAAGACACATAGAAAAAATTTTCCAATTAAAACCTCCAGCTACAAATGCAGAACTGTATATTATTGCGTTGTTCTCAAAATATGACGCTGCATTATACTTTCTAAATTTCCAAGTTACGAAAAATGTCTGCTTTTTCTGTTCAGACATAATTTTATTAACTCTGACATCGACAATACGTTTCCCAAGAGTGGTGATAAAACGAACTATAACTGTGTGAAACTGTTATCAGATGATTTTATCTTTAAACCAAGTTAGTCACGTTATAGAAGATAAAAATATGAACGTAGCTTGAAATAGGAAGGAAGAAAGTAAAAGAAACTCCTTATCAAATTTTTGTAATCAAACTCAAAAGAACATGATAAAGTTTCGTATTTTATTCAACTGTTTTTTTTTCTTTTTAATTTCAGAAAATTAACATTTAAAGTCAATAAAAAGCTTATATCTACACTACAAAAAAGTAGTGCATCTTATCCCCAAAAATGGTGACGGTTAATTTACACTAAGCAGTGTATTGAAACAACATAGATAACTCTTGGTTCTTGGCACTTCATTACATCAATCAATACATCACATTACTTCATTATAATGGTGGCAACCACTACACATTAAAACGGTGTATTTAAGCAACATAGATAACTCTTGGTTCCTGGCGTTGCATTACGTCAAGCACTTCATTGCATCAATCAATGCATTAGATTACTTCATTACAATGGGCGCAACTACTATACACTAAAACGGTGTATTTAAACGACATAGATAACTCTTGGTTCTTGGTGTTGCATTACGTCAAGTACTTCATTACGTCAAGAATTTCATTACATCAAGCGACTGTGGGAAAGAATCTGGAAACGCCAAGAATGAAGAGTAATTCCTGGTGCAGTGAAACGCTAAGAATGTTCTTTTACAAACTTGGTGTAAAATTACTGTCTTTATTCTTGATATTCATTAACATTAAAGTTTATAGTTACTGTAAAATATGATACACAAGAGAATCAGCAAATTTATTTTAACTAACATTATAAAATCGAATCATTAATTTAGGATACATATAATATCTAATTCGTAGCTTAAAATTAGTTTGTTTGACAAGCAAACACACAACACATAGGAAATAGTAGGATGAATTCGAACTAGGCTTAATAAAATCGAAGAGCATATCAAAAATCAAAAAGTCCTTTTATGCAGTTGACAGATTTAGGTAAGTCTTCATATTAGAACATAATTATCTCTATTTAACTACAAAAATTATTTTGTGCCTGTCATAATTCACTTCTGAATCTGTGAAAAGTTAAGAAGCGCGCAAGGCAGCTATGTCGAATCCGACGGTTATGCTTATTTAAATGAATATGAAATTTTTAAAGTAATTGTTACAAGTTCGTGACGACTATGTTGAAATTGATATGGAATAATAAAATATCGAAATTTGAAATAGCAAAGAAAAAAATTATCAACAGTTAAAGGATGAACCGAGTACAGCCTTCGGCAAATCATAAAAATTAAGGGGCAAATTTCAAACACTAGTTAACTTCGCCAAAATAAGACGTCAATGGTTTGGTTATTAACTGTTTTTTTATCACAAAGGTGCTTTTCTTTAAGGTTTATGCACCCTAATATATGGGCGAAAAACAATTTTGAGAAGTAATAACTTTTTTTTAACTAAGACAAAACAATCTAGCTACCCAGTAACGGTTTTCGAATTTTGTGCCATGGTGTTTTACGTCGTAAGTGCAATAGTATTATAGACAGAACTACTAAAAATAAATTAATACGTGTCAAGATTGAAAAATAAAAAGACTACTTATCATACTAATGATTTTTATTTATGGATAAAACTATAAAATGAAATAAAAATATAGTTTTAAAACGATTACAGAAAAATTATGTATAATTTTGCATAACAATGAGTCTGCGTGAAGCATGTAATCAGTGCCGGCGGGAGATGTTTTACCGTTTCTGATACTGAAAACGGCCCTTTTACTCAATTTAGGATATAAAAATCTGAATTTTAAAAATACTAAATTACTAATAGTCCTCGTATTATGTCTCTGGTGTAGTCATAACCCTGTAGAAAATAGCTTTTTATTCTTTAAATTAAAATTTTTCTACCAAACAATTATAAAATTTATATCATCCATGAATGTTGATTTAAGAAGCATAGGATGAAGATAAAAAACAATTTCAAGCAGTTAGCAAATTCAGTGACAGAATAATTGAGAATTTCACCTCAAGTATTCGAGAATAAGTATCTCTTCTTAAGTAATATTTTAAATTAGCATCATCTTTCATGACATACAAAGATACAAGCCTAAACATATCTGACGCAAACAGTTTTATAAACTCTTCAAAATAAACTATTTTTCCTGTTTCATTTTCGAAGGAAATTATTGCCAAAGAATTTAATCTTTTTTGTGTAAGTGTAGATCCTAAATATGTTTTTATAGTTTTTAAATTGTTAAAAAAGAACGTTCACCACTTGCTGCAGAGGGAAGGCTTGTTAACAAAATTCTTAAACTCATCTCCAAGTTTGAAAAAATATCGCTTAAGCTGTTTTGATGTATGAACTTTATGATATGAATTGGATATATAAGAACGAAAGAATCGGATAATGTAGTTGTGTTCATGTTGAACTAATATTTCAAAGGTATTTTCCTTTTAATATACGCCATTTTGCTAAAAATTATTTTGTTAAAAATTATTTTAAAAAAATGAAAAATTGTTGTCGTCGACTGTTGTAACACAATTTATAGGATTAAATTTTTATGAATTTATAATCTCATTCTCTGATTCGATCATTCTCTAAAATGTCTTTCAATGTTTCGTCCATAAGCAAATACCCTGCTATTTATTACTGACTCGTTAATACACCGTTCCTTTACTCACCCGAAAAGAAATTTACACGGTCTGTTGTGTTATCATAATGTCAGGGAAGTGAAGTGAAGTGAAGAACTATGTACAGGCAAGTTTGAGACGGTATGACACTCAGTCTTCCTTTTACAATTTTTTTAAATTTTTGATTTTTTCCATTTATTTTCAAAACCCCATCAGTAATTGATTTTGTAAATTAACGAAACTTGAATGATGAATAACTGTTTTTCTTAGATAGAACTAATTGCACATAACTGCAAATTTGAAAAATTGTCCTTTGAGAAAGAGCCGTGTTTGGAAGAGTTTATCTTTAACACAGAAAAAAGGAACATCTGTGTTCCATGCTGTTTTTCTCAACCACAAATTATTAAAATACTAAATATAATATCTGTTCTCTAAATTTGTTCTAAATTAATACAAAATAATAAATAAAGTTTGTAAGTTTAATGAAAAATCAGCGTAAAGGGTTAAGGATATTGATTAATCAATCATGGAAAATAATTCATCAAAAAATCTAACAATTTGATGTACATATTTTTGTCATGATGAGTTGATACTTACAAAGGAAGATATAATTATTAATCTATTTTCATAACAATATATTTTTCCATATTACCAGCGTTTTATTAAGACTTTGCAGAAAGCACCTGTTTTGAGCTGGAGTCTGTGGTGAATTCGACTTCCAAAAGGAGAAATATTTTTTGGAGATTTTTTTTTGAACTGGTAGAAAACTAAAATAGAAATTCAAAAACAAATTGAGCTCCTTTTTTAAACTTTTATCAGAATTCTACTATTTGTCTTTCTGACTCTTTGTGTATCTGTTTAAATTATTTATATCTAATGGTTGCAAAATATTCCTTTAATTCTGAATTAAAAATGCAAAAATGCTAATACATTACTTTTGCTCCTAGTTGGAAAAATATTTTCTGTAACTACAGAAAATCTTTTGAATAGAACTTTATTTATGTCGGACTAGAACTGCACAATGGACTATTGGTGATGGTCTGGGAAACATCCCTGTGGATGATCCGAAGACACTGCCATCATAATTTTTGATCATTTGCAGAGAGGATGCCTCTCTCGCTTTGGTGACCCTAAGACCTGCACGTGAACTCCAGAACTTCACAACAAAACAATTTAATGAGGGCCGATTGCGTACACCTTTGGTCCCTTCGAAAGCTGACCAAAAGTGGTCATCTTCAGTAAGTGAAATGGCCTCAGTGATCTACCGGGAACCATGTCAAACCGTCGATTCCCTGTGGAATTCATGGCATTTGGAAGGTATGTCTAAGGCTCTTGAATTTAGAGAATCCTTTTTCACACTGGCAGATCTCCTCCACATATGCTAAAAAAAAGGACCTTTCCCCCTGCATGAGATTCAGGCGCTTCCGGTCACCGTCTAGAGAAAAGGAGAACGTGCTTGGTGAGTATTTTTGCGGAAGAATATATTTCACCAATCAGGTTCTCATTCACCCTCGACGGTGATTGGAGATGCGTGAATCGCATGCGGAGCGTTGCTTCAATTAGTTCCTGACTTTGAGAGCCGTGGTAGCCCAGTAGTTAGAGAATCAGATTCCAGCAGAGGGTAGTTGGCGTTCGATCCTCGACTACTTTAAAACCCATCGAGTACATGTGACACACATACTCGATGTCTGTGGACTCAAAAGTACTGTGGTCGGTTACCTTACAATACCATGGGTATAAGAATCAGGAGGAAATCCCCTTTCATATCTATGTTTAAATTGAAGAAGTGGACTTACAAATGAGATCTCCTTTGCCGAGGATCAAAATTGTGATAGCATGTCTTCGGATCATCCTCAGGGATGTTTTCCAGACCGTCTCCAATAGCCAATTGTGCAACTCTATAAGGCGGCGTAAATAAAGTACCAACATAAGATAGGTTGAACTCCGACCCACCCCAGGGGGGTATACGGAGATAAAAGTAAAATTATTACAATAAAATTTCTCTAAAAACTAAAATTACAGTAAAATTTTGCCAAATGACAGTGGTGGTGATCAGTTAAAAGTGGATTAACTATAACACTTGACAATTAAAAACATGTTTTAAAGGCAATGAAATCCAATAGCGCCGGTGTATATGTCAAGAATTAAATGATTATAATAATAAGGAAACAAGAGATAAAAAAATCTCAAAACTAAAATCAAAGAAAGCTAAAAGTCCAAAGAGTAAATGTCTAAAAGTAAAAGTCTGACTAGAAGTCGATGAAGCCTAAAATCAAAAGTAGATAAAAATTCAGAATGTAAGGCTAGAAGTCGATTAGTAAAAATTAACGATGACATGCTCTATTGTTGGTTCATGACTGGGGTCAGTTGATCTGGGGCTAAAATGTCCTCGAGCGTCTGTTCAATAATTTGAGTCACAATTTTCCTGCAGGTCAACATAGCAAAGATTTGATGTTCCTCTTCGCAGTTATTCATGTCGGTTCCACGAAGTGCCCGGAATCTCGGACAGTGCTTAATTAGATGTTCAATGTCCTGTCTCACTCCACAGTAATTGCATGAAGCTGATTTTCTGAAATATTTTTGTTGATAGGTCCCGAACACTCCGTGGCCAGTAAGGAGCTGGTTTAAATAAAAATTAGCCTGCAGGCGCTTTATGCTTGGGTCTTTAAAAAATTTATAGGTTTGTCTTCCCTTGTCATTAGACCTCCAGTCATCTCTACAGCGGTTAAAAGTGATGTTCTTAATGTAAGATTTAATTTCGCATTTTTCACCCGAGATCTCAAAATCAATCTGGCCAAGCTTAGTGGCTTCCTTAGCAACCCAGTTGGTCTCTTCATTCCCTTCAATGCCTGAGTGTGCTTTAATCCAATTTATATTATAGTTACCACTCCACATGGCTTTGGTGTCTTCTATAAGTTTGAGGTATTTACGTGGGTCCTCCAGGCTTATGAGTGAAGTAAGGGAATCTGTGTAAATGCTTGCTATTGGAGAACCTGGTTTTTAAGCCATTGGAGCGCTGTCTGTATCGCAAGGAGCTCAGACAGATAAATACTGCAGTTGTTATTTAAACGCGCCGAGATGGTATTAATGGTTTTGCCATTTATCTTCATTACAACACCATATGCAGTTTTATTTATAACTCTACCATTGTTCTGAGTTTGAATTCTCGACCCGTCTGTGAAGATTTCAATGCCATGGTTAGTTGGAAGAAATTTCCACCAGGGCAACGCGAGAGAGTTTGAGGGATGACCCGGTTTGGGAGGTAGTAAGAGGTGATCAGGAAAGTACATATGATTTTCAAGCCAATTGATGTCTTCTATCCTCCATTTCCAGATATGTAGATCTCGTCAATGATTTTATAGTACATTGGTTTTACCCCGGCCAGTATCTGGAGTGCATCAGTTTTGACAGTCCTATAAGATTTAGTAATGGTAATAAGCGGAATTCTTTGAATTGATTTTAGTTTCTCTCTTATTTTGACTGTGTTTCTAAACCAGACACAGGCCGCATAGATGATGATTCTCTCGGTTACCTGGAGGTAGATCTTTTTTAGAACATGATGGTTGAGACCCCAGGTAACTCTAGCAATCCTCTTTAATTTGTGATTGAACATTTGTACACGATCCTTAACTTCGTCAAGATGGGGAATCCAGGTGAGTTGTAGATCCAAGATAACACCTAGATACTTTAGTGTTTTCACATTCTTTATATTTGCGTTATCCGGAAGATCCATCTTGACACAAGGAAGTCCAGCAATTCTTTTGTTAGATTTCGGAAAAGTGATTAATTTGGGTTTTTCCTAGCTAAAGTTGAGTTGCTGGATTTCAGCCCAGTTCAAGATCGTGCCGAGAATTTGTGTAGCCAGAGAGTCAAAATGATACAAGATGGTACGCCTCAAAAGTAAAAACATGTCATCAGCGAAAATGATAAGTTTAAAATCAGTAGAATTAAAGTTATCAAAACGGTTAAAATATTCCTCGTTAAAGATATTAAAAACTTGATTAATAAGGATCAGCCATAAAATGGGCCCGAGGGAAGAATCCTGCGGAACACCAACGTTAAAAGCTCTTCGAGTTAAAATGTGACCAGCACTGTTTAAGTACCAACATAAATAGTACCAACATAAATACAGTTAGTGATTTTGAGCTTTATGCCTGGAAGTCGCAGTGCTAAAAGATTATAGATATTAAGAAGGAGAAGAGAAAAAAATTGGTAAGTAAATTCCTTTATTATAGCTTGTTTTCGGGAAAATTGAGATATCAACGACCACGATTTCTTTAACAGTTCTTTAACATATATAAGACTATTTTTAAACCGAAGAAAAAATGAGGATAAATAGTTTTGTAATTAAGAATAAATAAAATCAGTTATAGATGAAATAGCTTTACTACCAATTTTCTCTCTTTTCTATCTTAATTTTTGTCCTCAAAAATATGGATACAGGGTCAGCCTCTTATTACGGCTCACGAGGACCTTGATTTTCTTTACTTTCTCATCATTATCTCCAAAGCCTGTATGTGGCCTTTAGACCTGAGTCGGGGATCCAACGCCTCTGTTATCAATTTGTAGCCAATAGTGTTACAAATTATTATTAAAGCGAGAGAAAAAATACTAACGAAGTCATTGAATCCCTACTGAAAAAGATGGAAAAGCAAACATTAAAGACTTTTTGATTTCCAGCCAAAAAAGAGGATTTTTTTAGGGATTATTAAAAACACTTTCACATTTTCAATAGGCAATCTGTTTTTGGTGTTTTCATCATTTCTTCCTCACTAGTGATTCGGCAGATTTCTAATGCATTTCACTTTTTTCGTTGAATTATTAATGTGAAACTTTTATGGCATACTTTTTTATTTCAATTTCAACAAGATTTAATAACTTGTATTAGTTAAAATGTACACAAAGTGACAATTTAAATGTTTATATACCTGATTTTTTAAAATCTATATACAATTCAGTTTATAACAAATACTTTTAACAAAGTTTAACAAATGTATGTATTTGTTTTCGAAATAACAGTATTTTACAAAAATGAACATAATACAACTGATCTTTTCTTTTGATATAATTTATGTAGTTTGCAAATTGGGATGATTATATCTTCCACTTAATAATCCAGTTATAAAAATTACCTACCAGCAAATAATCTTCAGACAAAATATTCATTTCATAAATTCAAACCTGAAATACGGAAAAGAAAGTTAGAAAATTAAGTTTCGTAAGAAATATAGTATCAGAAATTGGTGTGGATAATTGCTTGTTTTCGGTTAGGCCTACTGAAGTTTTGTTATTGCTTATTTGTTATTTGCTTACAGTAGAAAAACGTTTGAGGACAAAAAACAGTTTTTTCCCAGCTTCTACATAGCCACTCGAATATTTCATTGTAAATAGAATAGATGTCGCAAGGTTGCGGTATTTCCCGAAATTCCAAACTTTTTTTTTCTTCGTCATCATGGTATCTGCAATTCTTGATTTTTTTCAAGCCAGTATATTTTCACTTTTTACTGAAACTTACTACGATTTTTGTTTTATAACGTTTGTTGAACAGCTCACCCATTTTAAAGTGTACGACTATCAATGTTCTACTGAAAGTCCTAGTAATTTTGAACCAAATCCAGAAGACAAGGGAACTCCTGGATCAAGTTTTGGGAGGAATTTGCATTTTTGGAGGACTTTTGGATGAAACCAACCAGTATTTGCGTTAAATCGAAAGAAAAACAGCGAAAACCTCCTATGGTGAGTCTGGTGGCAAGGAGACTCTAACTCATGATCCGTCTACCACTGCGGATATTTTATATCAGCACGGTGGTCTGTGCTGGCCGGGAGCAGAATTCATATTGAACAGCCATCATTGGGATTCGAACCTAGTCCCCTCAATAAGAGGCGAGCGCTCCTGGGCCATCGCGGCTCTGAGATGCAATACTGTAGAAAAAAGGGAAGATTTTCCATAACAATAATAAAAAAGAGGGGAAAAGTGTGGTGAACGGAAAAACACTTAACCTTGAGATGCCATTATCTATTTATCTATCATTATCTATAGAGTATCTATAGAGACGATGAAGAAAAACGCTTGTATGCAGTTGGATATATTGTTAATGTTTACTGCAACTTTTCTTACGTAAAGTAATTATTTTACTTAATTTGAACTGCTTAAAAAATTGTTGGGGCAATTTTTATTACATAACAACCAAAATTAGAAAAAAATATCACAATAAGTTTGCCTTTTTAAACATGTTAAAAGATATTTTTTTCAAACATTAACAAAAAATGGCACTATTTTGCAATGTGAAACTACATTTCTTATTGTTTCCTATCTTAAGTAAACGAAAATCATATTTAATCAACATGATTCTTTGAATATTAGTCGAGACTAGGGGGATTTTATCTTTTACTTGCTATGTATGCCAACTCATAGAATTGATTTCAAATTATTTTCGGACTGGTTTACATTTAGTTTATCCAATATACATTAGACCACACGAAATACGTATGATATATACACCAGCTATTAATACTATATTAGCTAATCTTTTGTTGGGCATAGTATGCTATAACTGAACCGTAACTGTTATATAAGAAGTTGCAGTAGTTGTGTATTCCCAGTTATGTATTCTTACGATTCCTATTGTCATGTTATTATTTGGTCCGCTGACATCTCTTCCTATTAAAATTCCCTGTTTCTCCCGAATCTCTCTTTCTTTTATATTTTAATATTCAAAAATTCAAAGATTTAAATTTCTCACATTAATTAATTTTTTTCTCTTCAACATAAAATTAATAAAAGTCATTACGTTATTGTTTTCCTGTAAAAATTTTTAAATCCCAAATTTAAAAGTATAAATATATATTTTTTAAAGTATTCTACAGATATCCTTTTCTGTAATATATATTTTTCTTCTTTAATATTCTTCTTCTCTGATCTTTCATATCTTTCACTCAGGTATAATCGCGTTATAGATTTTAATTGTTTTCTAAATTAAGTGCTTAGAACTAAGAGAGTTGTTTATTTATTATAACATAATTCTGTGATTTTACCATATCATGCTATATTTTAAGATTAACTTATTTGAATCGGTGTCTTCAGCTATTCTTTGGTGTACGTTAGTATGTTAATATGTTATTATAAATTACAGTTAAAGAGCTTTGTTAAATGTTTAAGAAAGTAGATTTATACGAGATCTTTCATACGTTTTACCAACCAAATTTGTTTAAAAATAAATATTTTATTTTATTTGGGAGCGAGGTAATAATAGTTTTATTTATTTAATTCACTACTTCTTTGTTCAAAATAAAAATTATATAGTTATATTCTGAAAAAACATTCGTTCGTGGGTCAGAATTAAGTTAAAAGCAAAACTACTCAGTATGTCAAGTTAACCATGTCCACATTTAAGTTAATCATTTATTTTTTCATACTGATTACTTACGAATGCATTTGTGACTTGCCCGTATCGGAAAAAGTTAGAGAAATAAATGTTAGATGTAACTATATTTATAAATAGTACATTTATTTTAAGCAAATAATTTCAACTTTCGTTAAATAAATCTGTTTTATGCTAAGGAACAACANAATTTATATATTACGAATTTATTTGACGATTTTTGATTTATTTCACGAAATTTTTGCTTTATTAATGTTATTAGTTACTCATTGAAAAATGAGTCTGAGTCGTGCTGTTACGTTTCAAGATTTTATACTATAGCACATTTCTAATAGGTTTAACGAATTACATGTCATTTATTTGAATTCAAATTTATTTTAATGACTTAGTATTTACAAAGTAAGGTAAAAAAAAGTTTAAGAACAAAAAAAATTTAAGAAAGCAGACAGCTGTTTCGGATGCTCAAAGGGTAACCTTCATCAGTGCAACAGGATTTTTAAGTGCAACAGGTTCATCAGTGCAACAGTTCATCAGTGCAACAGGATATTCTAAGAGAGTTGTTTATTTATTATAACGTAATTCTGTGATTTTACCATATCACGCTATATTTTAAGATTAACTTATTTGAATCGGTGTCTTCAACAGCTATTCGTTGGTGTACGTTAATATGTTATTATAAATTACAGTTAAAGAGCTTTGTTAAATGTTTAAGAAAGTAGATTTATACGAGATCTTTCATACGTTTTACCAATCAAATTTGTTTAAAAATAAATATTTCATTTTATTTTGGAGCGAGGTAATAATAGTTTTAGTTATTTAATTCACTATTTTTGAAGTCACATTTTTAATCACATTTTTTGAAATATTTCAAAAAATCAGCTTCATGCAATTACTGTGGAGTGAGACAGGGCATTGATCATCTAATTAAGCACTGTCCAAGATTCCGGGCACTTCGTGGAACCCACATGAATAACTGCGAAGAGGAACATCTATTCTTTGCTATATTGGCCTGGAGGAAAATTGTGACTCAAATTATTAAACAAACCCTCGAGGACATTTTAGCCCCAGATCAACTGACCCCAGTCACGAACCAACAATAGAGCATGTCATCGTTAATTTTTACTAATCAACTTACATTTTGATTTTTTATCTACTTTTGATTTTAGACTTCATAGACTTCCAGTCAGACTTTTACTTTTAGACATTTACTATTTGAACTTTCAGCTTTCATTGATTTTAGTTTTGAGATTTTTTTTTATCTCTTGTTTCCTTATTATTATAATCATTTAATTCTCGACATTTACACCAGTGCTATTGGGTTTCATTACCTTTAACACATGTTTTTAATTGTCAAGTGTTATTGTTAATCCACTTTTCACTGATCACCACCACTGTCATTTGGCAAAATTTTACTGTAATTTTAGTTTTTAGAGAAATTTTACTGTAATAATTTTACTTTTATCTCCGTATACCCCCCTGGGGTGGGTCGGAGTTCAACCTATCTTATTTAATTCACTACTTTGTTGGAAATAAAAATTATATAGTTATATTCTGAAAAAACATCCGTTAGTGGGTCAGAATTAAGGTAAAAGCAAAACTACTCAGTATGTCAAGTCAGCCATGTCCACATTTAAGTTAATCATTTATTTTTGCATCCTGATTATTTACGAATGCATTTGTGACTTGCCCGTATCGAAAAAGTTAGAGAAATAAATGTTAGATGTAACTATATTTATAAATAGTACATTTATTTTAAGCAAATAATTTCAACTTTCGTTAAATAAATCTGTTTTATGCTAAGGAACAACAGTTATTGTGAAGCATTCCTCAGGTTTGATGAACAGGGAGCTTAGCCCTCTAGTAAGTAAATATTAGTTCGCAAAACTTTTATGACAATATTATTTAAGTGTAATTAAGGATTAGAAAATTTAAGTGCTACAATTATAATAAATTGTTAGCGATTTTTTTGTAATCATTAATAACAATATTTCCAAACCCTGTTCGCAATCTCTCTTACCACAAGCAAAAAAAGGAGCTTTTTTTGCTTTTATTACAACTGCTGTGTAAAACTTGTGCTTGATACATTAAAAACATTAAAATAAAACATTTAAAAAAAACATTATTATGGAGGCAGTGGTGCAAATTCCTAGTGCATTTTTCGTTTGTAGTCAAAGAGGGATTACTGCAGATATTTGAAGCAAAATCTTGATTTATTACCAAACCTCTTTAATGTTAAATATAACAATATCAGCAAAGTAAAATATCAAAGTAAAGGTGAGTTTTTATAAGGCAGATCTATATTTTATGTGACAATTTTCGGGATTATTAACGGTTAAACTGAGGGACAAGAGGGCAAACAAACTACCCCCCCCCACACACACACACACCCTAACGCTAAGAATTTTAAATTACTAGTGAATGAATAATTATTAACGAGCTCTAAGAAACAGAGGAAGAGACCCAAAGTTTGCGATTTATCGATTGATAATATAGCCAAAAACAAGGCCAACCCCGTGTTATAATATTAAATTTCAAATAATCTGGCTACAAAAAACAAAAAAAAAACAGTGAGAATTTAATATAACCCAGTAACCAAAAAACATTTTGTGGTTAGAGAAATAAAGTAGCTTTAATAAAAAAATGAAGATGAAAATTGATTTTAATAATCGAATAGTCTCAATAGGTAATTGATAAGTTATACACTGGTATGGAATTTCAAAGTTAACCGTTACTTTGGTTGTTAAGAAAAGAACAAATTTATTTGTATTTGCTTTTTATAAAATATGATAAAAATTACATAATTGATTTAATTTAATTATATTATAATTAAGAAGGATTTGAAAATTAAATCTATGAAATTGAAGATATTTTAAAAGCTAGGAAATGTTAAATGCCTATAATGGTATCACAATTACTTATGGATAGCTTAGTAAAAAAACTAATATTTATTATGCATTGCTATTTCTTTGGATTGTTATATATTTTCACTTACTTATTTTCTTGCTCCACCTTCAAACCTTATTGACATTTTAAGGAAAACTTCGGATGCCAATGTAGTATTCATTTTCAGCCACTGTGCCCATTGAGGAGACGACAAAATTGCAGCTGAATTCTCTGCAATGTAATCAATCGCAGCTAATTTTAACTGTTCATGATTGATCATGTCAGCGATGGACAATGCTTCACACACATTGTTGTGAGCCAGAGCAGATTGAAGAAAATTGAAGCATTTTTGAGACAGTGGTGGCACTTCATACTTATCCGCCATCACCAAAAGATCCAACGCAACTTCAAAATCCATTTGATCCACGTCCGCAGTGTAAATATATTCGAGAAATGTTTTGAAACTACTCGCTTCCACATCTGTAATATCAACAATCCCTGTATTGCTTTCCAGCATGTCCTGGTCGAACATGGCCGAGAACACAGGTGAACGAGCAGCCAGTAAGCTTTTATGAGCGCAGAAAGTTTTGTTGTCAACTCTCAGTTTGACATCGGTGAATTTTTCATCTAAGAACATGCTTTGAAGGTGCTTTTGCAGATGGAATAAACAATCATGATTAGTTGCCTTATTGTCTTCGGTTTTAGAATTAGACTCTTTTTCTTGAAATTGTTGGGACACTTTTACTGGATATTGAAAACTTTTCTCGCGGTAGTTTTGGCTCTCTTTGTCTTGAAATTCTTCTTTATTTGATTCCGTGACTCTTTTTTTTAAAGTCACAATATCGTTTGCCTTAGAAATGCTGCTCCTTACAGCTTTTTTACTTCTTCCCAAATATATTTTATTATATTTTACCATCGATTTGAACGAATTTAAAACTTCGCATTTTATCATTGTTTCAGCGCAAATTTCTGCTTTTTGTTTACTGAAGTTAAGGACACACTCATCTTCCTTATTTTTTTGCCGAAATTCACTCATACGCCGAAATGACACCAGCGTAGAATCTTTGGAGTTTACTAGTGACACTTCGAACCAAGCAAAAAGTTCTTCACTTTCTACATTAGAAAGAAAATTAAACTTTAAAGTACTTCCGATATACTGAAAATTAATTTCTACCGGTACTTCAGCCAAATTCACAAGTTTTTTTACACACTCATTAGAGTAATTGAAAGGCCATGAAAGTGAAAATCTCTCGCTGAAATCCATTGTCACTTGACAGGTGGAAACTGGTTGCGTCACGCCATCTTCACAATCCATGTGGCAACGAATAGTTACTGTGTCTTCCAACCACGAAAACATTTCAAACAGTAACTCATGACGTTGCATCAGAAAATATTTTTCTGAAAATTTGCTTTTGGCAAAAGTGTAACTTAATTGTTTAGAAGCTTTCAAAACTACTCCTTCTGGATTTGTGAGTTCGTATCGAACACTGATTTCTGTATATGGATTCCTTGGTCCTTCTTGGGTTATGTAGCATCCAACTTGATTTTCATCATGAAAAAGATGTAAAATCCATTTAGTTTCTTTTACGCGATCTGTTGTGAATACAGGAGTACTGATGCAACGATCACGCTCACTGTCATAAAAGTTGAAGTGTCTAATCTTCCAAACGCACACAAAACCTTCAGACATTTTCTGTTGAAAACCTACCCAAATTGCGAGTAAAAAACAACATATACTAGAAAAAATAATGATTACCACCTTAGCAAATAATTCTATTTATTTGCACGAAATAGTGTATTTAATCAAATCTTATCTGTTTCGCTCTTATCTATAAAAACTCAAACGTCACTATTTATATCTAACCAAAATGAGACATGCGTTTTTACAATTTCAATTTCAATATCTTAATTTTACGTTTGATTTGAGAAATTAACTCAACCTATAAATTTATTATCAAATGAGTCTTACTCAGATAATAATAATTATTGGTATGAAAAAACTATTGCTATTATTCCAGATTTTCCAATGTTAATGCAAAAGTTACTTGCAGAAATCATTTACTTTAATTTTAGATCTAAATATCTTTAATTTGTATTATTTATTTATGTATTTTTTGTTTCTTTAATTTTTATTTATTCATTTTATTTATTGATATTTAATTATTTATTTATTTATAAATATATTTTTTTTTGTTTTTGCTTTGTGCTTTTTCAAAGCAGGTTTAGCAACAGTTCATTAAAATATTCCTTGGTTATTGTTTTAAAAACAATATTGTCTAAATTTTAAATTTTCTTATGTAAATGCAAAGTGTTTATGTCTACTATCAGAAAAATATTACTCCCCAAAATTTTTCACTTTAATTTTTCAATATCTTTGCTTCTTATTATTTATTTATATTATTTATTTATTTAATAATTTATTTTGCTTTTTTGCTATATTGTGATTTTAGACACATTTTGCGAACGCTGTTCCTCACCCCAATAAAAATGATGACAGAAGACTGATGATGGAATATGGGAGTTTTAGCGTATCTAAATTCATTTAATACTTCGGTATACTAACTATAGATGGCGTGTGTGAATTGTCATGTATTTATCTCAGAATGTGAAGTCGCTAGAATTTGCTATTTTTTGTTCTCTATACTTTTTGTCAAAATAGAAAAACGGATTTCATCAACATGCTAAACTATAATTCGCAGTTGAACTTTAAGGCTGTTTCTTAGATTTAAATGATAAAAATAACTTGTTCAATGTCATAATTCTTTATTGTATTATCAATTCTGTATTAACAATTTAAAAACGCTGTAAGATACACTACTCTGCTCTGTTTTAGCAACAAAAAAACAAACAAAAAACCATCATGAAAAATCACGAATCTGTTTATTGAAAATTGTATAGGGATTGGCATGGAATAGAATAACTTATAATTAGTCCTAGATTTATAAACTGCTAAACTTTTGGCAAAAACACCACGCTCTGCAGGCAGTTGGAATTCAACTGTTGGGCAACAGAGTTGAAATTAGTTGTTCGAAAATAATCATTTTTGAATATAAACATAACACAAACTTTTTTTTTTATTTCAAATTGTTTTAAGAGCTTTTATAGCGTACGTTACGTTTAGTTTTGCTAATAAAACAACTATAAGAAATCTAATTTGAAATTATTGAAAGAAACGGCGCAATAAAAAAAAGAGTTCCGTTATTAGTTCAAAAAATATTAATTGTTAAATTTAGACAAAAATACGGTGGTTAAATTCGACGCGTTGGAAGACTTAATTTCATTTATAAATTTATTGAGATTGCTTTTAAAATTTTAGTCTGTTCGACGGTTATTGCAATTTTAAGAGATTTTGTAACTATATCTTTCACATTAAATCTCCCTCGAGATTTTTATTTTATAAGCTCACACTTGACTTGATTTCAAAAGCAACAACAAATAAAAATAATAAGTAAAATATTAAAAAATGATCGCAAGAAACATTTGATGTTACCAGCTATCAATTCTAATATTTGTATCAATGCTTTTAAAAAATATGAATGACCCTGGAAAGATAAAAATTATTACAGGTTTGTACAGGTACAATTGTTACAGTTTGTACATTGTTTGTAAAGGGGACGGACAAAAATATATAAACGCTTCAATATCAACTCTATGTAACCAGTATTTCTCTTAGCAGTAAATATTTTGGAAGATTTTCACATGGCCATACTGTTGGCATAAGTCAGGAAGCTTTTAGGAATGATGACATTTTCCTATAACAAATTTGGATTGATCACAATGAGGAGAGAAAGTTAACAACTTCTTTCTAGGGTTCTTCTTGTGATAGTTATAAATGAAAGATTTTAACTCCTTCCATCTCGATCCCGTGAAAATGGCGGGGTGAGGTTTCGCGCTCTATTTCTCAATCCCGTGATGTTTCCGGGCTGGAGTGTTCGGTAGCAACGCGCCAATAAGAATAAAACTAATTCATTTCTTTTGCCCGAAAAACATTTTATTTCTCATTTTGCACACCAGACGGCAGTACCAGGATATTTTTAAGGCAATTGTAGATAGTTAGTTTATTTTAAACTAGATGTCAGCACTAATCAGGGCTTCAGGGATAAAAAATAGACACTTTTATGATCGTTTTCTTGGAAATTAAACGATCGTTAAGGGGTTAAAGTTGTATAGTGATCTTGATGAAGATAAAAAGCTTTTAACTTCCTGCGATTGTTTTATTCGATACTAATTTTACACGAGTAAAAAAGGCACCATTTCTAAAAGCTTCAAGCCTGTTCTTTCGACATGTGATAAAAGTTTTGCCTCAGAAAATCTTCAAAAACATTTGCAGCTAAAAGAAAGATTGTTTACATAGGGTTAGAATAAAAGTTTTTCCATAAATATTTGTCCAACCTCTTTTCGTAGTCGTTATATATAGTTAATAAGAAAAATTATACTAAGTTCTTCGTATTATGGAACACGTATTACATTCCAAAGTATTTTTTTCTGAGTTTAATTTACTATTTTCAAATCCAAATAATCGTTCATTTTGTTACGATTAACATATTAACAAAATGTTCATGTAATTATTAGATGAATAAATAATTTTCTCTTAAATATCAACTTTATTATCGTATTATTTTATAATGAAAAACAAAGATGGAATAAAGGCAAACACGAAGGTTGGTGAGCGCAGCCTACTAGTAAATTAAAATGATACTAAAAAACTTTTGACAGTAATACAAAGAGTTGATAAATAAAAAAAACTGCAAAAAATTATATTCTGCGTAAAATAAACTAAAAACTCGTTAAAAAAAGGCATAGTAGAGATAAGATAACTCTAACTATGTAAAGGTACAATTGTAAAAGTACGATATCGCGTATCGAAATGTCACATGACGAGAGAAAAAACACTGTAAAAGATAAAGATAACTTTTTTCCTCTCTTTCAGAATGGAATATTCGTTATGCTTATTAATTTCAATCAGATCTTATCAATTAACTTCAAATCTTTTTTAAACTTGTTTGGGATATCGTACTGAAAATGTCGGAAAAGGAAACGAGTGAGTTCATTTTCACCTGGAGAATTAAAAATTATTCTGCTTGCTACCAAGCAAAGGGTGAACATATTGAAAGTCCCGCTTTCACAGTAGAAAATTTGCCTGGAAGTCTTTGGTATTTATATTTCTTTCCTAAAGGAGTCTCTATATTGGAAGGAAGAAATCACGTTACTTTTTGTTTAAAATGGGTAGGACCTGGTGGTACATTTTTGACTCCTATTGGTTTCAGTTTAGAAATAGTCGTTGGATCGGACATCGTTTTAAAACGTATGGAGTGCAAGCACGAGTTTACAAAGAAACATAATATTTGTGGCTGGATAAAATTCATGAATATCGAGGAATTAGCTCAGGGAATAGAATTTTGGAAAAAGGATCTCTTAACTGTACGATGTCGGATGAAATGTGATAAAGTGAAAAAACAAATAATTTTTGGATCAGATGCTTCCACTATAATTGATGTAAATCGACGCTTTTTGGGATGGAATGTTACAACTTCATTGGAACATTCTGAAAGTTTAGTTTTTCCCTTTTCCGATGAATATAGTTTTGAAATCACTTTAGCATCATTTGTGGAAGGTTTAAAAATTTTAGTTCGATTAAAAGAATGCGATGAAGATTTATCTCAACCAATAACGTTTAAAATAACATTTTACGATAAAAAAGAATGCAAAATCGTTTCGAAGCATGCCAAATATTTATTTAAAGATGCAGAAGAATGGGAATTTCCCAATTTTATTTCAAAGGATTTGCTGGAATCTTGCAAATTTGATTCAAGTAACTACAAGTTCAAATTGGAATGCGAAATTTGCGTCATAAAAAATAAGATATCGTTTAATGATGTTGAAAAATTTCATTTTAATACTTCAAATGTCACTTGTGTAGATACCGAATCCAAGGCTTTACCGGTTACAGCAATGCAAAATGATTTCCGAAACCTCTTCGTAAATAAAAAGCATTATGATGTAACTGTTAAAGCTGGAAACGAGGAATTTCCTGCCCATAAACTCGTACTCGGAGTGCGCTCACCCGTTTTCGATGCCATGTTTGACCAAAACATGTTGGAAAACGAAACTGGCGTTATCAATGTAACGGATATCGATGGAAAAACCATGAAATCCTTTCTAGAGTTTCTTTACACTGAAAATGTGGATAAAATGGATTTCGAAAGTGCCAAAAATTTATTACTTGCTGCTGATAAATATCAAGTACCTTCATTAGTGAACGCGTGTGCTTCTATTCTGGAATCAGTTTTGTCGCTAGAAAACGCTCTTGAAACTATCTCGATTGCTGATTCTGTCAACTGTGAGTGCTTGAAACTGTGTGCATTAGATTATATAATATCTAACGCCGGTAAAATATTGATCGACCCCAATTGGAAGCCCTGGATCAGAGGGAATCTTGAACTAGCTACTGATATCTTATCCAAAATGTCTACTGATTTGGTAACAAAATACAATTGAAATTACTTAGTTTTACTTTTTCGGTAAAAAGAATAATAGTTTTGCCAATTTCTAGTTTTAGTTACAAATCTAAAGTTTCATTTGAATTCAAACAAATAAATTACAAATCTAATTATATATTTTATTTTCCGATTAATACCAAGTATTATCATTAGCAAACGAGTATGTTTCTCTTTTGCAGTTTCCTTTGAGTTTAAACTAATAATTTATCTAATAAGATTTTCTATGAATGTGTAAAAAATGTTCTTTAAAAATTCTATTGTTTAATCAAATGACTGTAGTTAAGATTTTTGAATGGTTTTAACAAGAAATT